ATTGAAATACAAGCCTCCGCGCGGGCAGACGATTTAACTAGAGATTGAGTTAAGAAAGAGCTCACAAAGGGTCCTTTAGCACTTCAATTCAATTTTCAATTTTAGACTAACAAATTTTTTTAGATTTTAGCTTTTTCCTTGCTTCTGCTTAGCTCCTTGCTTAAAATGCTCCTTTGCTCACCTTCTAGCTCAATGCACCTAGTCAAACAAGAACCAACATAATAAGTAACCAAAATGAAAATGAAAGTAAAGTAAAGACACGATCAAAAGAGTACTAATTCCTAATTGATTCCACAAATACGACGTTGCCTTTAATCAATCCCCAGCAACGGCGCCAAAAACTTGGTGTGACCGTCGCGTGTGCACCCAAATTTGTGTAAAGAGATGTTGGACTAAGATGAGTGTGGCCAAGTTTTACATTATAATTTGCCACTACTACCTTTTACTAAAAATATAGTTAAGGCGAGTAGGGATCGTCCCAAGGGATTGGTGGGTCGTATTAGGTTGTGGAATCGAGATTAGGGTTAGTAGGTTGAGTGATCAAAAGATTGGTTGGTGGTTGAATTATACTAAGATGCAATTTAAACTAAAGTAAACAATTAAATGCAATAGAGAGAAAATAAGGGAGAGAGATGTTGGGGTTTAGAGATCACCACTAAACATAGTTTTTCTACACCCTTAATGAATGATTAATGAGGGGGAAAACATGTATTGTAACAATAGTGTGTGTGTGTGGTTGTTTTAACAAGCATGGATGACTAATTAAGTATATATTGTCTAAGCAACATGATGGATAGCACAATATATCAAACTAAGCCATTAATCCTTTCTTTAAGCTCACAATCCAAACAAATCACAAGGTTAGAGACATATGCTACTTGTTTTCATAAGTGTGGAACATCAAACAACAAGCATGGATTGTCCTCCCATTTAACATCTAAACTACAACTACACTACAATTAAGCTAATGACATGAAATTAAACTAAGGGAGAGGCACAATCCATCAAGAAATGAGTATGAACCATCAAATAAACCACAAGAGCATTCTATTAAGCACTATGTCTTGACAACCTTAGATCTATAGCATCAATACACATAGACATGCATCAATAACACAAAATCTAGAGACAAACACATGAACATCTATTCTAGAATACATAGACATATGGATAGAATGAAATGATTAATTGGAAGCATTAAACCATACAAGTCATTGAATAAACAAGATCTATGTATATAAATATGTCAAAACATGTATCACAATACAAATCTCCTCAAAAATACATAAATCAAGATGTAGAAAGCATGCTTAGGGCTAACTCTAGTCCCAAGAGGATGTCTAGCCACTCATGGATGGTGTCCTCCAACCCTCAAGGGCTAACTCCATGGTAGAGATTGCTCCTCTTCTTGGTTGATGGAAGAACTCCAAGCTTGTGTCTCTAGCCTCCTCTCTTCTTTTCTTCCTCACTAAGAATATGATATATCTAATGTGTTAAAAGTCTCTCTAGTGTATGTCTATCTCTCTATCTTAAGAATGGCTCATATTCCTTATACAGGTAGGTTAAATGTCACCCCCAATGACCTGGGCTCGTACACCAATATTCCCCCCAATGATTGGATATGAGACAACTTTTAATGAGTTGGAAATTGAATTTTCTTGCACTTGGGGAAGTTCGATCGATCGAACATTCTCTGAGATCGATCGAATTTGGCTGAGATCTATCGAACTTAAGCTGGATTGATCCTCTATGGCGGCGCCTTTTTGGATAAAGACAAATCTAATATATTTTGAAGATATTTTTGGGAAAGAGACAAAAGTGGTAGGTGTGGTGGTACAACGTGATAAGATGAAATATTTTCGATCGATCGGAAGAAAGTTGGATCGATCGAACTTTGTGGGATCTTTGGATAAAGACAAAAGAGCTTGGATCCATCTTGAAATGCTGAAATCGATCAAAGTTGGATCGATCGAATATTTCCTGAGATCAATCGAACTTGCTGAATTTCCTCCACTTGCTTCCTTTTGCTCCCACTTTGCTCCTTTCTTTGATTCATCTCAAGATTGCTTCAATTATGCTCTTATTTAGCTGAGTTAGCTTATTTTGGGGATAAGTACCTGAAAATGGAAATAATACAAAATCAATCTAAAGCCGAAAAATAAGATAGATAAAGGTCCTAGAATACCTAAGCTTAAGGGGTTTAAATGCGCACTTTTCAGCGCTTATCAGTCAACCAACTAACTATGGATAATTCCTAAAAATCCTCCCTAACTAATTTCATACCAATTCAGCCTAGATCTTTCCACAATTGATTTAGCTAATCATTTTGATATTGACTAATTTGTAATGTTTATTGAGATGTCTTTATATTGCAACTGTATTTAATTTCCACTTTTGTGACATAAGTGTCTTAATTTGCTCATGCTCATGCCTTAAGTTCCCTATTGTGCTTCGGCTCCAAGAGATCTTGGCGCCATTGCATGCTCGAGCTTTTAATAACTATGTTTATCATTGCTTTCTCTTATTTTTATTTATATTTTAAATTTTTTTTTTTTAATATAGAAAGTTGTGATATTTATAGTTGTAAAACTTTATTTGCTTTTCCATACGTCATCATTTACAAGCATTGTCTCATTGAATTTACCACCCCACCTTCCAAACCAAACAAAAGAGAAAATCCTTGTTTGTTTTTTTTAGGGGGTCAGCTGCATGAATCCTAATTTGCCTTTCTGCTTTGCCTAAAGCCATAATCTACTTAACCTTTCCTATATTCATTTATTTTCCTCATTATACTTGAGATGGACAATTTTTCGTCAACTATTTACGTAAAAGAAATTAATGCAATTGTACCACGTGGTTCAATTAAACATGTTGAAAAGATGGACAATTTTTCGTCAACTATTTACATAAAAGAAATTAATGCAATTGTACCCCGTGGTTCAATTAAACATGTTGAAAAGAGCGGGAGAGACTAAATATTCTTGGGGTATTCTGTCAATCAGAGAACCCTAAATGTTTACGCGTTTGTGTATATATATATATATATATATATATAGTTTTACAAGTATTGCTTATTTACGTAGTGACCCCAACTACCCCCCATCCTCCCCCCCCCCCCCCCCCCCCCCCTCTCTCTCTCTCAAGATAGATCATGCATATCTCACACAAGTAGTAACTATCCTCTTACTCATCACGAAGTCTCTCAAAAAGTGACAATCTACCTCTTTATGTTTAGTCCTCTCGTGAAATACCGAATTACTAGCAGTGTATATAGCAGCCTGATCATCACAAGTCATTCACAGAGGCTTGTCCTTGAGAATCCCATCTCTTGTAGAAGAGATTTTACCCACATCATTTCACATGCCGTATGGTCCATTGCTCTGTACTCTGCCTCTGCTCTTGATCTGGCCACAAAATTTTGCTTCTTACTTTTCCATGATACCAAATTACCTCCCACAAATGTGCAATATCCAGATATAGACCTCCTATCCATTTGGCTTCCTGTCCAATCAGCATCTGTGAACCCAACAATATCCATGTTTTTTCTGGACACCGGAGCTAGTTCCAACCACAGAGAGCCTCCAAGGCTGTCATGAAAGCTCGTTCACAATGGAAGTTGGGGTGGTGGAGGTTGCAGGATATGAAGAACACAGATATCTAGAATATCAAGTGTTCTTATTTTACAAGGGCCAAAGGAAATCATCCAAAAAAACACTGATTTGGAGCATCCTACTTTTATACAATTCATAGGGTTCAACAAGCAATCAATAGCGCGATAAAGGTTTAATACTCTTTGTAGCGAATATTCATTTATTTTTTAAATTATTTTTTAATTTTTTTGTTTTTGTGAAATTTGACATTTTCCAAATCTCGTCTTCGGTATATGCCCAGTTGAACATTTTTTACTTCCATTTGTGAGATAGTTCATGAGTGGTTCCGATATCACTGCAACTAGTCTTATTATTAGATAGAACAGACTTTAAGACTGCATTTTCTGCATTATGTCAAAGATGCGCTCGCGATGCTAAATTATCAATTTGATCTAAAAATGGAAGGAAATTATTTGGGTTTGGTTTGCTTAAAATTCTTTCTTTCAAATAATTAAACGAAGACTTTGTGTGGGTTTGATGAATAAAAGGTGATTTTTTGGATCTCTTCTTAATGTTGAATCACTGAGCAGCAGAGAAGTAGAAAAACAATATAGCCACAGTGTGACAAATCCAGGCCAAAATCCTATCATAAGGAGGGCAGGAGGAAGAAGTGGAGCAGAAGAAGAGCTTAAGAAGTTTACGCTTTAGATCAACTGCAGACTTGGTGGACATATTCAGTCCTCAAAATGTCTGTGTCCATGGGGAAGGAGCAAATTGGAAAGGAAAATCCTAAACTTTATATAGCTGTCTAGCTACCTTGTTAGGATAGGAAAGGTCAGACCTTATCTCATGCCTTAGGAATGTGGGGCTGGGAAAGCTAACTTGTTGCTGAATCACCCAGTTTTTTGAACAAATATGTATATTGAATTAGTTAACTGTTTACGTACCGGGATGTATCCTAAATTGTGAAGGTTTACCACATAGAATAAATCTTATATTATACAATTATTTGCAATCAGAGTAGATTATTTACAGATAATGTTGTTTTGTTTAAACATTATTACTTTCAGTTGTTACTTTTGTTCATAATGTTGTCTATTAAACCCAAAGCTTGATGGTTATAATTCATCACATGCTAACATTTGTGCAATATTGATAATGTTCCCCTTCACTTCTAGAATTTGTTGGTTCTTAGAATTAAAATTTTGTGTTGCAATCTCTTACGTTTTCCTATAAAGCATTGACTAACAGAACCAGCTAAATGACCTTGTTTTTGTGGATGTAAACCATGTTAAGTCAATTTAATGTTTATTGTCCTCTTGGAATTCCCTGTATTTTGGAGATTTAGAAGTTCCTCCTCCGTGCGAAAGAACTACCGCTGTTAGTTTAAGAAACGTTATTGTGTTTCAGGTGTTCAAGCTGCTTACTGGGGAATGCTTGATGAGGGAAGGATTACACAAACTACCGCAAATATTTTAATGCGATCTGTGGATGAAGCAATTGACTTGGTATCTCATGAGCCTTTATGTGATTGGAAAGGTTTAAAAGCTAATGTTCATTTCCCGAATTATTATAAGTTTCTACAAACAAGCATTTGTCCACAAAAGCTGGTTACATATTTCACTGTGGAAAGGTTGGAGTCTGCATGTTATATTTGTGCGGCATTCCTTCGTGCCCATAGAATTGCACGGCAGCAATTACACGACTTTATTGGTAAGAATCTCCTGTAGTCGTCTTGAACATCCCTGGTTATCCACCCTTTCTTTCTTTCTTCCTTTTTTTTCTTTTTATTTATTTTTATTTTTTGGAAAGGTAAATAATATAAATTTCTTTTTAATCTTGAAACATTTTACATTTCATATTCTGCCTTCTGCAGAATTAAGATATTTGAGATATTAAGAGTAGACTCTAAAATGAGATATTTTATTAATAAATTAGAAATATTATATCCTGTAGAATTTAACGTGTTTCGTGGGGAATGTGTTACATATTTACTACAATCATGTGTTAGGCTCTTACATTTACTGGTGGCTGCGACAAACTAGAGATACAATCCTAATTTAAAAGGATGGTTCTAGTGTCTAATTATTTCATCCATTTATCCTTGAAATGATTAATTGACATTGTTAGGGCTTATAAATTGTTAGGTGAGATATGTTAGCTTAGAATCGTGGGATTTGAGGGCGTAATTGGTGGGATTTGATCACATAATTATTGTCATAATTAGTGAATGTAATTAGTGGGATTTGACTACGTAATTATTGCCATAATTAGTGGGCGTAATTAATGAGATTTGACCATTTCATTATTGTAAATTATATTTCTGACTAATATAAATACATGGGAGTAGAGATGACTAGAAAAACAACCCTTTCTTAAATACTCATTCAAGCCTTTACATATTTCTTTTGTATTCCTCCTATCTTGTGTTTCTTCTTGGTATCAGAGCCAGGGTGGTCCGATTGTAATGAGCGCGTTGTGAGTTCAGCACCATCCATTCGGAAATGGTCTAAGGAGACATTATTGATTCCATCTACATATTTTCAAACATGTGTATGTAGGAGAATGGTTTGAGGAGACATTATTGATTCTTTCATCTACATATTTTAAACATGTGTATGAAGGGAAATGGTCTGAGGAGACATATTTTTAAATCGTCTGAGGAGACATTATCGATTGATTCTTCCATTTACATATTTTTAAACACGCGTATGAAGGAGAGTGGTCTGAGGAGACATTGTTGATTCTTTCATCTACATTTTTTAAACATATGTATGAAGTGAAATGGTATGAAGAGACATTATTGATTGTTTATGATCTGAGGAGACATGGTTAGTTTTTTTATGGTTTGAAGAGACATTGTTGATTCTTTATGGTCTGAGGAGACACTTTGATTAGTTGATCGGCACTTCATTCGAGAGAAAATCATCTCCGGTCATATTTTCACTCCGCATCTTGCAAGCATTATGACGAAGGGTGTTAGCAAATACCGTATTTGAGGATGCATTGTCCAAGTTGGGCATCTCAGATATCCACGCATCAACTTGAGGGGAGTGTTAGCCTAGAATTGTGGTATTTGAGGACGTAATTAGTGGGCTTTGGCCACGTAATTATTGTCACAATTAGTAGGCGTAGTTGGTGGGATATGTCCATATAATTAATGTCATAATTAGTAGGCATAATTAGTGGGGTTTAACCACATAATTATTGTCATAATTAGTGGGATTTAACTACATAATTATTATAATTTATATTTTTGACTAATATAAATACATTGGTGTAGAGATGTCAGAAAACAACTGAACACGAAGGTGAAAAAGAATAAATTCTAATATTCTCTTTTCATCACATATGTTAGTTTACAGGCTATATATATAGAAGTGTATTACAAATTCCATCTAAGGAAAAGATATATATAGATCATAATTCCTATAATATAGGAACTTCTGTAAATTTTAAAAAGTCAACTATCTAACTATGGATAATTCCTAAAAATCCTCCTTAACTAATTTCCTAACAATTCAGCCTAGATCTTTCCACACTCCCCCTCAAGCTGGTTCGAAAAATATCTTGCATTCCTATGCACATTCCTAGCTTGCATGTAAGATTGTCAAATTTCCCCTTCGGTAATCCATTAGTGAGGATATCTGCTACCTGTTCTCCTGTAGGAATATAGGGCATACATATCACTCCTTCCAATTTCTCCTTAATAAAATGTTGATCAACTTCCACATGCTTAGTCCTATCATGTTGGACAGGATTGTGAGCTATGTTGATTGTAGCTTTATTATTACAGTGAAGCTTCATAGGCATCGGACTTGAGATTTTAAGATCTTCAAGTAATCTTTTCAGCCACAAAAGTTCAAAAATTTCATGAGCAACTGCTCTGAACTCAGCTTCTGTACTACTCCTTGCTACAACGGTTTGCTTCTTGCTCCTCCAACTAACAAAGTTGCCACCAACGTAAGTACAGTAACCTGAAGTAGACTATCTATCCGTCACACTACCTGCCCAATCAGCATCGGTATAGGCTTCAATCCTTAGATGGCCTTGGTTTTCAAACAACAAACCTCTTCCAGGTGATCCCTTTAGGTACTTGAGAATCCGGTAGACTGCCTTAAAGTGTTCTTATCCTGGTGAGTGCATAAATTGACTCACTACACCACTGCAAAGGCAATATCTGGCCGAGTGTGTGAAAGATAAATGAGTCTTCCAACCAGCCTTTGGAATTGCTCTCGGTTTACCACTTTTTCTGCACTTGCTGCCTGCAACTTTAAATTGGGCTCCATAGGTGTTTCCACCGGTTTGCAGCCAAGTAAACTTGTCTTCATAAGTAAATCCAACACATACTTCCTTTGAGAGACGAATATCCCTCTCTTGGATCTGGCAAATTCCATTCTTAGGAAGTATTTTGAAGCTCCAAGATCTTTTATCTCAAATTCCTTTGCAAGAAAAGACTTCAAATCTTCCAATTCTCTTTTATTATATCTGGTCAAGATTATGTCATCTACATAAACAATAAGTATGGCTATCTTACCATCACTTGAATGTTTGTAGAATAGAGTGTGATCAGCCTGACTTTGACGATATCTATGACCCTTGATTGCTTTATTGAATCGATCAAACCATGCTCTGGGTGATTGTTTCAAACCATATAGCGATTTCTTCAATTTACACCCCTTTCTAGCTCCATAATCATTTTCAAATCCTAATGGTAGATTCATAAACACTTCTTCCTCTAGCTCACCATTTAATAACGCATTCTTTACATCTAACTGTTGCAATGGCCAACTCAAGTTTGCAGCAAGAGACAATAGCACCCGTATGGAATTTACCTTTGCCACCGGGGCAAAGGTTTCCTTGTAATCTATTCCATATGTTTGGGTGAAGCCTTTAGCTACGAGTCTCGCCTTGTATCTCTCAATATTATTATCAGCCTTATATTTGACCATGAACACTCATTTTTAGCATACGGTCTTCTTCTCCCTTGGCTACTCAACAATCTCCCAAGTTTTGTTCTTATCAAGAGCCCTCATCTCTTCCATAACTATTGCCTTCCACTCAGTATTATTCAAGGCCTCCTGTATAGTTCTAGGATTTGAAACACTAGAGAGATTAGTGGTAAAAGCTCTATAATTTGGAGACAATCTATGGTAGGACACATATTTACCAATAGGATGTGTTAAAATTTGCTGCGGAAATAAGAAATGCAAATAGAAAAAGGGAAGAGAGAAATATGGAAAACATAGGTATATATATATGGTTCGGCATTAAGTCCTACATCCACGGACAAAGAGCCACTAAAGGCTACATTTTTATTATTCAGATCTGTATATTGCTCGAGTACAAAGAAGCCTATATTCAGTGTTATTAAAGGCGCGCCTGGGCGCGGGCGTAGGTGCTAGGCACCTACAGGCACATGAATTGCGCCTCATGATAGCCCAAGCGCAGTGACCTTCATTAGGCGCGTGCCTGGGACGCGCCTCACGCTTTTACTCAGGCGCGCCTGATCACTTATTTCCTCTTAAGTTGTTTTTTAATTATTTTTTTTTGTTCTGTTCAGCTTTTTCCATGTGTTGGAATAAAAAGGAGCTTTTGTAAATTTGCCTTCTTGTGCAATAAAAGAATAAAATAAAGAAAAGAAAAGCAATGGTCAAATAAAGATGGATACAGCATAGAAACGTGAGGGAGTGGAACAAATAAAGAAAGACCAAAAGTAGAGAATGAAAGAAAAGGGAGTAGTCTGTTGCAATGAACTTTGTCTTCTTGTGCAATAAAAGAATAAAATAAAGAAAAGAATAGGGAGTAGCCAAGTAGTTTGTTGCAATGAACTTTGTCTTCTTGTGCAATAAAAGAATAAAACAAAGAAAAGAAAAGGGATTAGCCAGATAACTTCTTAGTATGTCTTTATTTGCTTTGTTCTCATTTGATCCAGAGTGCTGCCAGCTGCATTTTCATGGCGTTTTACTGTTTGGGGGCCTTAGTGGCATGAGTTTAAATTTCCTACTTTTTTTTTTTCCTTCCTGAATTATCTGAATATATTTTGCTGAATTATTTTGAATGCATTTTCCTGAATGAATTTACCATTCCTGCTTTTTTTTTTTTTCCCTCTTTTGTATGCAGTTCTGCTGAATGTTGTTTGCTAGATTATTTGAAATGTTGAATGCATCTTGCTGCATGCTGTTTGCTGAATTTTTTAGGTCCCTTAAGATTGTTTGGTTTTATGACTCAAAACTGAAACTAAATATCTTCCATTTGCTGTTTTGGAGCTTTATTGTTTTAATTGTGCTATTTTGCTGGTTGCTTTATTGGTTTAATTGTGATATATTTAGTATTTTTATTACTAGATATGTATTGTTTAATTGTTGTGTTCTTTTGTTGAGAATTATTGTTTTAAATTTTTACTTGTGCACCTCACATCACTCAGGCGTGCGCCTCGCGCCTAGGCTCCTGGGGAACTCTAGCGCCTTTAATAACACTAGCCTATATATAGGCATGGTAAATATAGGAATATATGGAAGGTATACAATAGTCAAAGGAGGCACCATGATTGGTAGAGGATTTTCCTCCACCGTTAACTAGAAATATTTATAATTGGAAGGAAATTGACTGGATCACCATGATTGGTGGAGGAATTTGCTCCACAATTATATAGAAATATTTATATATTTCAACAGGATGTATGGTACAAGAGCGAGTACCCTTCCTAAGTG